TGATGAACTATCTGTTTCGATGGCAGGATCCACCGGTTTCTCGAGTGATTCGCGATGAAACTGGTCAACCGTTTAGGATTCGTGGTTTCTTCGGTGAAGTGATTCAACTGCTGCAAGAAGGAATGAATTGCACGTTAGTGTGAAGTATTTGAATTATTTTCATTCGTCGAATATTTGTATATTACGAAAAACGTATATTAACGTCGCGATCAAAATTTTGTAATGGACAATTTATTCTAGATGTCGAGTATTTCCTTTGTTACGTGTGTTACACGAAGTTTTTGAACATAACTGTATATTATATAATTAGTAGATAAATTGCTGCATAGCACACTTTGGAATTGTTAGAGTGTCAGTACAAAATTAGTAGATACTTTAAAATATTTTAAAATACAAAAGAACCCCTCGCGATTATCGGAACACGTTGTTTGAAGTTTTATTCAAACGATTTAGCATTGGAATGTTCTATCATCAATTTCATACTACATTATTACATTATTATTATTATTATCTTCATCATACTAATATAGTTAATATTGTCATAAAATATTTCTCAATATCAAAACAACACTGTATGACGTTACCATGAAATCATGCGATTCCTAGTGGTTGTAAATTTGTATTAAAAGTGTTCGTCACATTACTTCTGAAAGGTAATCAAATGTTTCGTACGATTTACTTTCGTTCATTTTCTCTTTTTGTCGAAATTTGGAGGGCATGCTACGTCGTCCTTTCGTCTCGTCTTTCTTTTCTTGACACACTCGATTTTCTTCTCTTCTTCGGCTTTTCTCTTCAGGGCACGTCGGAGCTCTTTCAGTTGCCTGGCTGTTTCCTTTCGGAAGTACTCGTCTTGACTGGCGGCTGACTTTTCCTCGAACCATTCCCTTTTTCGACCGTCACCGCTTCGTCGAAATCTTTCGTAGCTTCGTCGCGGAATTATGGCCCTGCCGCGTAACATTGACGCGCATCTGCGATTTGAGAAGTTTTTTTTTTTTATAGTAACAGTGTAAGTTGTTAATAGTTTACGTTTATAATGCTTGAAGGTTGAAAAGTTAAACCGAGTTTGTCCGTTAATTCTCTCATATCTTTCGTCTACGTACGGCGAAGCAGTTGCTCTTGGACTAACAGGTTCCAAACATCGTAACGCGAACCCTCGTAGCATGCTCCTCACGTTGGACGTTGGCTTCCGCCCCGTAAACCTTCTTCTTCTGCTTCCCCTTTCTCGTTTGTCAAACGAGAACAGATAGTCGATCGTATAGAAATACCACGATATTGGCCTCGATTCTTGGAGAGATTACTTCAGATTAATCAAGTTACCTGAACAACTCAAGCAACTTGAAGCCATTTTATCAGCGTGATTCTGTCATTTACTTTGCTTGAGATATATCGTTTCAAGTCAATTCACTTCAGCTTCAAATTAGCGAAGGACAGTACTTTGCAAGCACTGTTCAGTGAAGAAGCAGTTTTATAGTCCGTTCAACGAGTCGAGTTAGCACTAAGTTTCTGAATAAGAAGGAAAATTATATAAAATTGATTCAACAGACGCACGTGACCGAGGCAGCAGCGTATTTCTCATTTTTAACTGCAGAAACGAAAATGTAAAATAAAGTCAATTTCATATAATTAATTCAATTTTATATAAAATTTATATTGTTCTCTACAATTCTTTTTCTTTTTTGTTTTTTGAATTTGAAGTTTCGGCACAGATTTATTTACGCACGAATGGCGCGAGTAATTTTCGAATACTTTCTCCACACAGTTTATTCTTTCGGTAGCAAATGTCTCTTTCAAATGATTCTCGTAACGCCGGGATTTCAGGTTCACCTACATAGAGGCTACCTCGTGGGGTGCACAGTTGCCAAATGGCTCGTGGACAGGGTTGATCAAAATGTTGATAGATGACGAAGCGGATCTCGGAGCGAGCGAGCTGATGATGTCGTCTGACAGACTGGACGCTATAAAATACACCACTCCCGTTTATACGACTAGGTAAGTTTAAAAATCGATTTCTTACTGTTATTATTTTATTATGTTTTCTACTGTTATCATTATTTTTTTTTTTTTTTTTTGTATCATTTAACATCCAACATTTCTCGTCCTCCTTTTCGTTGAGATGTCGCGCGTACATCAAAAGACCGGACACAACAGCGGTGAACTGGAACGCGTACTTGGCGCCATTCTCGTTCAACATTTGGAACGCGATCGGGCTGACCATCGTCGTTGTAAGCCTAGTAATCGCCGGGATCGACGCGTTCTCAAGAAAAGCCGATTCATTGCCAGCTAATGTGAAACCCAAGACTAAGTCCAGTCTGTCTGAGATTCTATTCGCCGTGTTTGGCGTGTTCTGCGGACAAGGTGAGCTTGCCAGGATGGCTGAAAAATTCTCAGAGTACAAGACAGATAAGTTTTTCACATTTTACATGTTTAAAATAATCTCTCTTCAGAGATAACGTCTATACTGACTCCTGAAGTCAGAAGTTATTCCAAACAACAATAAATTTTGTAATATGTAAGCATTTAGAGACACGGAATATTAATATTGAACAGTAGTAATTTGATGTGATTTAAATCATCGACATCAGGCATTATCAAAAAATTAAATTGATATTTATCGTAAAGTACGTTTAATTGTTTAATCTTTCTCGTTGGATAAACGCCTCTTTTCGACGATGTGAAAACTTAATAACGACGTGACCATTCTAACGATGTATTGAATATTCCGGTACCATGAAATAACGGGAGAACTAAAGTAATTTAGGATTTGAGAACAGGCATGGAGCCGTCTTCTTTGGATCCGACGAGACTGGTGCATCTGAGTATCCACTTAACGGCGGTGGTGGTGATCGCGGCATATTCGGCAGCGTTGATCAGTCACTTGGCCATAAAAACGTTCCTGATGCCATTCACCACGATGGAAGGTTTGTTGGAAGATGGTACCTATCGATTCGCTGTGGTCGCCGACTCGGCCGACTACAGTTTCTTTCAGGTAACGAATCCATCTTCGATCGAGATCTTAATAATTAGTGAACCATTGCATTACACATTCTCACTGTTAAACGTTTCACCCTATCGATAATTAAAAACAGGAGAAAGTTTCTATTCATGAATAAAGAATACAAACTTTCACCATCAAGTTTCTATGAAGTATTGCAAATCAATCATTTTATAATGTTGCAATATTTCTATTGTTAAGATTGTTATTGTTGTTATTTGAATTTGATACAAACTTCTGTACATTTCTCGGTGACAAACAGAACACCAGCGACAACGTGCTCACGGTTATGTTCGACCAATTGTTGACCAGAGAAGCCGATCTCCCGCCAAATTATTTCGAAGGTTTGACTCGCGTGTGTCAGGAAAAGAAATACGCATTCATGACGCTGGATAATATGGCGTCGGTGCTGCAAGGGAAGGTCGAGTGCGCGCTAGAACCTCTGGATGTGATCATGCAAACAACCATAGCTATGGCAGTGCCGGCTGATAGTCCTTACCGTGGCATCATCAACAGCAAGTGAGTCAGATATTAGATAATACTGTTCTTTCGTTTCTCTTATTCCTGTTTCTTATTCGTATAGTATTCTTCTTCTGCGCGACAGTGGCATTCTCCAGCGGTTAATCGACCTCGAATGGTCAAGCAGCGAGCGTTGGGTGAGCTATTTCTCAATGTCGAGGATACAACAACAACAAAATTCAAAGAATTATTTTGATATACTTCCACGTTCAGAAGAGCTGACGTAGATACTTATACAATATTTACAATCGAATTGTTGCTTGGTCCTCAATGGACTGACACTCGGATTAATGAATCAATATTCAGACACATGAATTTTACTTATTTAATACATATAGGGATAATTAAGTAATGAAATTTAAAATCGCAAAAAAAAAAAGAAATCCGAATAATGAACAAGTTATATTAAAATTAATGTATTATGTATTGTGACTTGTTTGTTATTTGAATCTTTCTGCGATTTTAAATTTCGCCATTACTTTTTACGCGGAAATTTGATGAAGACGACAACCTTCTTTACGTTCCAGGCGAAAAGCGGATGGAGCACGGTGGAGATGGAGGACGCAGCGCCTCTGCTCATCTTTATGTTCTCAGCATTTCTGGTTACTTCTTTGGTACTGTTAATCGAACGACTATTTGGTCGAGAGCAATCTCGCATCGTGGAACAGAAATCTACAGCAAACTAGTCACAAAGTCTCTACCCGTGCAGTGCAAATCTTGCCGGCCGAGTGAATGTTCGTTCTTTCTTAACAAAAAAAAAAAAAAAAAAAA